CTTCCTGCCTTTTAAAGGTCATGTGGGTTGCACTTAAGCATCCTTTTTTAATGGGGTTTGGGCACCGACCGGAGTCCTCTTGGGCTTGTCTTTGGTTTTAACATGCTGAGACTATCGTGGCTTTATTCCTGAATTTCTCTGATTTTTACAGTTCAGATTTATGCCTTTAATCAGAATCTGAATTAAACCTGGAAGTCAGGGACTCCCAACCCCAGTGACACCATGGTAATGGGGGTGAAGAGCAGGTTGCAAGCTTCCATTATATTCCTTTGTTCTGCCCTGACATCCTCTTCTGTTTTTTAAACTTTAGCTCCAGCCTAGCAAGAGTGTTCAATCACTCACTGGAATCTTAAAAAATTGTTTATGTATTAATAGTTTTTAAGCTTAGGCCAGGCACTGTTCTAAACAGGTAACAAATGTCTCGTTTAAGCCTGAAAATCCCTTAAAGACAGGAAAATAGGTTCTGAGAGGTGAAATAGCTTTCTTGGGGTCACAGCTAGTAATGAAGGAGCCAGGATTGCAGCGCAGGTGTTTTGGCTCCAGCATGTTCTTAACCATGAGGCTTTGCTTCCACTTCTCCCTAGATTTAAGGCTAGCGGAGGAAAATGGGAAATGCTCCCTCGAATTTGACTCGAAAGTTCCTTTTTACCCTGTCGCCCTCGCAAGGTGACTGTGGATGCACAGAGCCTCACTTCAGGCTCCCCCTCAAAGCGGCAGAAAATTCTTAATGTTGAGGTGAGTTGTGCTGTCCTTTTTTTTTCATTGCTGGGGGTGGGATTTTATTTTTTGAAGACTGTTTTATGATGAAATTTTTCAAATAAAATAGTCATAGTATAATAAATGCCCTTGAGCCCCTAACCCAGCTTCAACAATTATCAGTTTGTGGCCACTCTTATTTTACCTGTGACACCCTCTCCGTTTCCTGGATTATTGTAAAGCTAATCCCAGACCTATTTCATCCATAAATATTACACCAATGGATAAAGACTCACCACCCAAAATGCCATTATCACACCTACGCAACATTTCTGTAGTATCAAATATCCTGTTGATGTTAACATTTCTTATTTCTCATGGTGCTTTACAGTTGTTTTTTTTGAAAAAGAATCCAGATAAGGATGACCCATTGCTTTTAGTTTTCTAAGTCTCCCTTAATTCCCCCATTTCTTCTTTTTTAACCATTCTAGTTATTGAGGAAACCTGGTCACTTGGCTTGTAGAGTTTTTCCACACTGTATTGCCTTTCTACATTTCCTATAAATGAGCAGAGTGCCAGTTATAACGCTAGATTGAGCTGGAATTCATTGGTATGGGTGCACTTAACAGAGATTCTGGATTTAAAGGATTAGCCCATTAAGGCTCTTAACAGCTTACTTGGTTGGTTGACTGAAACTTGGACTCCATGGTGGCCTATGTTTAATGAAGTTGAGATGCCAGAGGTGGAAGAAGGATTAGGCTTAGGAAGATGGGAATGTTGGAGTGGATTTATCATGTGCAACCTGTGCATCCCAGTCTCCCAAACTACAGTCTCTGACGAGGTCCGCAACACACCACTTAATTAAGACATTGAGAAGCATGTTAGCGAGGGGAGCACCCCCATCCTTGAAATCTCTGTGGCTGCTCTCCCGAGGGCAGGCACGAATGTGCTGTTGAGATGAGCTCCCTGATCTCAGTGAGGACTGTGGGATCTGAGTAGCAGAAGCCAAGTGCAACACTTACCTGGTTCCATTATCAACAGACTGTGTTGTCAATACATGGCACTGTTGAGACAGCGGAAAGCTAGAGCAGGAGGAAGGGACTTCGCTTCCTGGTGTGCTGTTTTCCATAGTGGTCGGTGGACTGGCACGGGGTAGAGCCTGGAAGTGTTCTCTGTGTGGCTCTTGTGGTTCCGCAGCAGCCCACACCCTCCTGCAAGCTTCTCCCCACTACGCACTGCTTCCCGTGGTCAGCTGAGGCCCAGTGTCCCTGGCAGGTTTTCCTGCCACCTAGTGGCAGGAGTCCAGGTCAGTTGAGGCCTTTAGCCTCCAGCAGGTTTCTTCACCATTTTCTGAAGAGTGACTGTCTTGGGGAGAGGATGGTGTCCTCTTCTAAGTGACCAAGTTCCTTCTCTCTTCCCTGTCCTGTGTTAGGGTAGTAGTTGCTTTCTACAGTTGCTACTTTTATACTCTTTTTTATTCCTTTTAGTAGTTTTTACTAATTAACAGTTCTTTAAAGTTTCAAGTGTGGTTTTGTGTCCTGACTCAATGTTGACTGATTCTACATAGATCTGGAGGCTTGATCAAATATGAGTCTAATTAACAAGAGTAGGGACAAGAATACTTCATAGATGGTGTTCTCTGCTTCCTATCGGATCACATCAGAGCCACATATCTGGTTGTCTTAAGTAATCAATGAGTTTACATGTTGTCCGCTTGATCTGTCATTCTAAAATTCCCTATTTGCCTTTTATGTAATGGTTTTTGCAGTTACGGATGATCACTGCCTAGATCTGTGATCTCATTAGGAGCTGTAAATGGTGTGCTGCTATCGTTTATTACCTGGAATTATTCTATATAGAGAGCTTTTTCCATAACTATCAGGTTATACTGAAATGCATGCAGTTCATATTGATGTGGCAGGATAATTGCTCGATTCTCTTGTTTATCAGGGTATTTTTGTTGTTGTTGTTAAGAGATGAGCAGTTGAGAGGTGAAGTCTCGCTCTGTTGCGCAGTCTGACGTGCAGCAGCCACTACTGTAACTATTGCAGCCTCAAACTGAACTCCTAAGCTCAAGCGATCCTCCCGCCTCAGCCTCTTCAGTAGCTGGGACTACAGGTTCGAGCCACCACGCCTGGCTCATTTATCAGTTTCTATTGCTTTTTAAATTTTCTTTAACATTCTTTTATGGCTTGAAAAGAGCTTACGTTAAATATCTGTACCATGGTTCCTACCCTTCCCATAAATACCTCACAAATTTAAAACACTTGATAATTTTCATTGCAGATTCCCAAATGTTAAGCATTAAGTGGCTCTGCCTAATGGCTAGTACTACTCATAGGGTGGTAGAAAAACAAAGAGCTGGGTGCCTTGCTTGTTGACAGATCTAGATTTAAAAATATTTTTAGGGATATGGAGCAGGGAGCAGTTAACTATGGCCCAGTACCTATTTCTGTACGGCCTCAAGCTAAGAATGGTTTTTACATTTTTAAAAGGTTGGTGGTAAAATGTCACAAAGCTTAAAATGTTTATTATCTGCCCTTTTATAGAAAGTTTGCCATCCCCTGATATAAAGCAACCTATGTATTAAAGCACCTCTTGGAGAGAGGTGTATCTGTGAAATAACAGGTTTAGATTAGAGCAGTGGGGTTTGTGACTTTTGGGTGGGAAGTCATAGATCTAAATTCTAGAATTATGAGCTCTACCCTAAAAATGCTCGTGTACAAAATTGTGCCTATGTCCATTCACAGGCATCCTGGGCCCCAGGCTAAAAACCTTTGCCCTGTAGTATTGTTATTGGTCTGCTTGGGCTACCATAACAGAACACCAAGGCTGGGGGGCTTAAACAACAGAAATTTATTTTGTCACAGTTCTGGAGGTTGGAAATCCAAAATCAAGGAGCCAGCAGGGTTGGTATCTGGTGAGGCTTTTCTTCCTGGCATGTAGACAGACAGCCACCTTCTCACTGTTCCTCACAGGACTTTCCTCTGGGCATGCACACTCCTGGTGTCTCTTCCTCTCCTGTTGGGTTAAGGCCCCGTTCTTATGACCTCATGTAACCTTAATTACCACCTTAAAGGCTCTCTCTGCAGATGGTCATGTTGGGGTTTAAGTTTTAACCTATTAATTTGGGGAGACACAACTCGGTCCATAACAATGTAAATACTAAATCTAAGTATAACGGAGTACTATATCTACATTAAGGATCCCCTTTTTCTTCAAGCTCTGAGAGATCGAGGGTTCTAGGCATTTGCTGCTGAATCCCAGGCACTACCTTATAGGCTCCGGAGTCCTATAGAGTCAATGAATGTTGGTGAAATCAGACTAATGCACAAGAAAATTCGTGGAGGGATATGTGGTGCTAATTTAAGTGTCACAGATTAAAATAGTGTAGCAATTCTGAGGAGAAACTCAAAATCAGAATAATCAAAGGAAGCCCCCCCCACACACACACTTTAAAGGAGAGAATGACCTATGCTTGGAATTATTTGTGCAAGAGGATATTCTTGCTGGCCTTAGGACATTTACAGACTGTGAGCCAAAGCCAAAGTTTAAGTGGTTTATGTAGGGTATGGGAAGATAGATGCTGGAGAGTTGGGGAGGAGACTGAGATCGGGAGCCTTGGAATTGTAAACCATGTGTCTAAGACCTGAACTGGAAAATAGTTCAGAATTTTGGCAGAAAAGAAAATGGTAGATAAGGTAATTTTATCTGGGATAGAAAGAAACAGGATCATAAAATTTATCAATTCTCAAAGAATTTTAAGTGGTAAAATTTAGGGAAACATTGCATATCTACGGAATGATTCAGCTAACATAAAACAGTTATGATAAAACCAGGTGGTTTTTGTTTGGGGGAAGGGTGAGCGGGCAGTGTTTACATGATAATGCTACCGATTTCTCTGTGTATAATTTGTATTGTCCTAAACTGTGAACTGTCTCAAAACTGAAAACTTCCAAGTGCCAGTTCTCTTGAGGGGCAGGGACAACCTCTACTCCATTTTGAAGAACATCTGATAAAAACTTAAAAGGTTTCATGTCCAAGGTGAGCACTCTCTCTTTTTCACTGTTTTGAGTTTGCCTTTCAAATAATCATTAGGAAATAAACAGTTTACATCAAAATTACAGTCCTAACAGATTCTGGTTGTCCCTCAAAATGAGATGAGCTGCTTTTATAGTTAGAGGATTATGGTAATACACACAGTATCTGGTGTTTAGGGTTAGCATAATAAAGGCTAATACAACTAAAATGCTTTTTTGGCCCACTAAAAGTATTTTTTTACCTAACCTCTATAATTCTAATAATAAAAAATTTATCCGAACACATTTTAATACTAATTTCAGTCACAACTTTTATTCTTTATTGTCATATTTTCCAAGTTTTGGCACCCAAACTTGGCAAACATCATGGAGATTTGTACAAACATACATATACATATATACATACATGTTTAAGTTTAAAGCCCCAGCTTCCTCATTACACCCTGTGCTCAGGCTCCTGTTAAAAAGAGGTAAAATGGCGAGAAGATAAAAATCAGGGAAAACATAAATAAATCCCAATTGATAACTCTTATCATGAATTAAGGCTGACATTTTAAAGCAACATCCATCACCTTGCTAAAACTTCCAAGCTATAGCCTCAGATATTTACAACAACAAAAAAAAGACAAAAATATCCCCTTATACATTTACTGGCATTTAACAACAAGCTAGTTGTACTGTTTTGTTATTTCAGTAACTTTTTATTAATATTTCAGTGATTAAAATTTCAGGTGTTCAAAACTCAAGTGGGGGCATCATTACACTCTGAAGCAAAATTCTTCAGGAACTCATCTTTAAACTACTACCCGAATCCACCACAGTAACATTCAGGCTTTTCTAAAAAACTTAATGTTTAGTAACTAAAGAGTAGATACAATCAGTGTACCCTAGGTCGTTTGATCTTATTTTTCTCTGTAGGAGCTTTCCTCTTTTGTGATAATCCGGCCTCAGGTTCCTTATCGTTCTGAAGAAATGCAACAGCTTCTGGTAGACAGTAATTTTCTACTTGAGGAGGGGTTTCCTATAAAATGAAAAATGAACATTTTTTTTTTCCACATTTCAAACTCTTAAATGATCTGGTAATAGATTCCTTTACTCTGCTTTTTGACAAACTTAAAGGAAAGTGCACATTCATTCCTAGGTTCTTGCAAAGAAAACTTCTGTCTTTCGGGGTATGCTAATTAGCATTCACATTTAGTGGATGAACCCCGTGGGACAAAGTCTCCCCTTTTATCAGAAAAATTAGTGTATAGCTCAGAGTGGGGCCAGCTCAGCTCTTAATGATTTCATTTGTAAAATATGGATTAAATATGGAATATGGAATGGGAACATATGGTTAATAACTCATTTCGGTGTAAGATACTATGCTTAGTGTAATTTTTAAAAATCTTTTTTACTTTTTACTATAAACATATGATATGGGTGCTTTTAACCCTCATTTTACAGACAGGTCAGTAAAACCACCAATGTCACATAACTAAAGCCAAAATTCATACTCTTCTCTGCCTGACTCCAAAACACTTGCATTTTTCTCCCTCAAAACCATTTTCCAACATGGAAGAAAAGGATCTTTTCCTCCTTATAAGTATAATGCAACTTAATTTTCTGGCAGCCTGGCACACTGGATAACCTGAAAATGAATCACCATAAAATACTAAGTACCTTCTGATTTAGTTCTTCCAGAGAAAACTATAAATTCTGACAAAAATATATTAAAAGCAACTACCATAAGACCCTGGAGAATAAACAAATCAAGCAAACATTAGAGGCGAGTCAACATTAGGAAGAGAAGGGTGAGTTGCCCCATTTCATCTGTTTACGGCTTTTGGTCAGAGAAGAGGTCCCAGTCTGTGTGTGTGTGGGTTGGCTAAAACTAACAGAGAAAACCTGCAGTCTCAAAGACTTGAAGAACCAGAGAAGGATGGCAACTGCAGCCACTGGAAAATGAGGTAGGAAGTCTTAGAAAGGTTGTGGGATGGGGGAACCCCAAACCTAGTGTCTGATCTCTGCCCAAATCTTTGCTTGACCCCTGAAGGGACTAACACTAAGGCTAAAGAAACTGAGATTTGAGCTGCCACTCACTGCAGAAGGTCAAATAAACTGGCTGCTAAACAAATAAAACAGAATCTAGAGTTTCTACAAGTTATGTCCAGAATACATCCAAAATTACTGCACATAGGAAGCAGAACATGACTGTTTCTCAAAAAAGAAAAAAACAATCAGAATCACTCCAAATACAATGAAATACTTAGGTATAAACTTGACAAAACATATGTAGGATCTACATACTGAAAATTACAAAATGCTCATGAAAAATCAAAGAAGACCTAAATTAACAGATATGCCATGGTTCATGGATTGGAAGACAACATGCTAAAGATATCAATTTAAACTGATCTGTAAGTTGAATGCAATTCCTATGAAAATCCCAGTAAGGGTTTTTTATACACATAAACAAGCTTATTTTTAAATTTACATATTTATATATTTATAATTATATATTTTTAAATTTATATTAAAAGCAATAAAAAAGGGGTAAAGGCCCCTAATATAGCTAATACAATCTTGAAAAAGAGGAATAAAGTGGATGGACTCATTACCTGATACTAGGGCTTGCTCTATATAGCTTAAGTAATCAAGCCAGGGTAGTACTGCAGAGGAAAAGACGTGTGGATCAATGCAACTGAATAGGAAAACCCATAAATAGACTCGCAAATAAATAAGGCCAACTGAATTTCGATAAAGCAATTCAACGGAGAAAAGTTCTTTGAACAAATGATGCTGGAGCAGCTGGATATTTTTTAGAGAAAAAACCCAAGAAACAGAAAAAACCTTTGACCTAAACCTCGCATTTAATATAACAATTAGCTCAAAATGGATCACAGACATAAAACTGTAAGACTTTCGGGGGAAAAAAAAAAACCTTCAAGACCTAGCATTAGGCAAAGACTTCACACCAAAGAGCGCAATCTATAAAAGGAAACACCATTAAATCTGACCTCACCAAAATGCAAAGGTTGGCCCAGCGCAGTGGCTCACACCTGTAATCCAGCACTTGGAAGGCTGAGATAGATAGGAGGACTGCTCGATACAGAAGTTCCAGACCAGCCTGGGCAACATAATGAGACCTCGTCTCAAAAAAGAAAAAAAAAAAGTACAACTTTTTCTCTGCAAAAGACCGTGTTAAGACAATAAAGTTAAAAGGATAAAGAGACAAACTACAGACTGGGAGAAAATATTTGCAAAGTACATATGCAACAATGGACTATTATCTAAAACTCTCAAGGCTTGACAGTAAAAATCAATTCAATTAGAAAACAGGCAAAACACATGAACAGACATTGCAATGAAGAGGATAAAAACACAGCAAATAAGCACACCAAAAGATGTTCAACTTCGTTAGCCATCAGGGAAGTGAAAATTAGAAGTACAATGACATAGCAAGAAATACCTACTAAAATAGCTAAAATAAAAAGTACAACACTAAATTTTGATGAGGATACAGAAAAACTAGATCACGCATACATTGCTGGTGGAGAAAATGATATGGCCACTCTGAAACACACTCTTGGGCATTTATTCCCAGTGAAATGAACTTATATTCACATAAAAACCTGTACACAAATATTCACAGCAGCTTTGTCATAATAGCTCAAAACTGCAAACAACGCAGATGTCGTTCAACAGGTTAATGGCTAAACAAATTGTGGTACAACTCAAACATGGAATACAACTCAGCAATAAACAGCAACAAAACTGTTGACACAAGCAGCAACCTGGATGAATTTCAAAGAAATTTTGCTGAATGGAAAAAAAGCCAATCCCAAAAGGTTACACAATGTATAGAGTCCATCTATGTAACATTTCTAGAATGACACAAAGAAATGGACAACAGATCAGTGGCTGCCAGGGGTGATGTGACAGCTGGGAGAGGGGGGGTGACAGAAGGAAGATGGCTATGGCTCAGAAAGGGCAACGTGGAGCCAGGTGTGGTGGTATGTGGCCACAATCCCAGCTACTTTCAGGAGGCTGAGGTGGGAGGATCACTTGAGCCCAGGGGTTTGAGGCTGCAGTGTGCTACCACTGCTCCTGTGAATAGCCACTGCACTCCAGCCTGGGCAACGTAGTATGACCCTCCCCCCATCTCAAAAAAAAAAAAAAGGGCGACATGAGGGATCTTTGCGGTGACAGACTATTCAGTATCTTGATTGTGGTGGTAGATATACAAACCTATGCATGATAAAACTGCATAGAACTAAATGTGTGTGTACACACACATGCACAGCACAAGTAAAACTGGGGAAATCTGAATAAGCTTGGTGGACTATATCAATGACAATGTCCTAGTTGTGATATTACACTATAGTTCTACAAGATGCTAACATTGGGGAAACTGGGTAAAGTGTACACGGGATCTCTATTATTTCTTACAACTGCATATAAAACTATAATAATCTCAAAAAGTTAAAAAAAATCAAGAGACCAACCTGCTCATGACCCAGATGTTGGAAATAATAGGCAATGATTTAAAAGCAGCTATTATAACTGTGCACAGTGATGTAAAGGAAAATATGCTTGGAATGAGTAAAAAAAAGAATCTTGGCCAAAAATAGAAAAAAGAATCCAAATGTAATTCTAGATATAAAAAAATATCTAAACCCAAAAATCTCACTGGATAGGCTTCAAAGCAGAATGAAGATAACAGGGAAAATATCAGTGAAGTTAGAGGCAGATAAATAAATAGGAATCAACAATCAAAAGAACACACACAAAAAAAAAGATTGCAAAAAGGTGAACACAGCCTTAGGGACCTGTGGGACAATATCTGATAGGTCTAAAATGAGTACCTGAGTTCCCAGACAAAAAGGAAAGAACAGAGCAGAAAAATTATTGAAGGAATAATGGCCAAAATGTCCCAAACCTGGTGAAAGGCATAAGTTTTCAGATTCAAGAAGCTCTGCAGACACCAAGCAGCATTAATATAAAGAAAACCACACCTGGAAATATCAAACGGTTGACAACCAAAGACGAAGAGAAAATCCTGAGCATAGCCAGGAAAAACTGCCACAAGGCATACACGAGAGCAACTAAAATTGTCACTGACTTCTCAACAGAGCAATGGAGGACAGCAAGAGAGTGAAATCTTTAAAGTAACAGAAGAAAAAAAAAAAAAACTATCAATCCAAAATTCTATATAACCTGCAAAAAAAAAATCCTTTAAGAATGAAGGTGAAACAGACATTTTCATATACAACTAGAATTGAAGGAAAATGACACCAGATGGAAAACTCAGATCTTCCAGAAGAAATACCACTCAAAATGTATGTGTCAGAGTAATTTTAAAAGACTACTTTTTTCTTTTAATCTCCTCAACATACATAGGACTGTTTAAAGCAAAACCTATTTAAAATACTGTACTGTGGGGCTATAACATGTATGGGGGTATATGTGTACATATGCATAAATGACAACTATAGCATAAAGCAGAGGCCAGCAAACTTTTTTGTAAAGGTCCAGACAGGAAATATTGTAGGCTTTGTGGAGTACTCTCCCATTGTAGTGCAAAAGCAGCCATAGAGAATACATGAATGAATGAGTACGCTGTGTTCCAGTGAAACTTTACTTACAAAATAGGCAGCAGGCCTGTGGGCTATTGTTTACTGACCCTTGGTATAAAGCATAGGGGAAACGAACGAACCTACTCAGATGCAAGAGTTCTACATTTCATGCAAAGTAATACAATATTAACTCTGGATAGACTGTGAAAAATCAAGGACACACATTGTAATCTGTATACAAGCACACCCCCTTCCCCCAAAAAGTAAACACACGTTTTTGCTTTAAAAGGCTAATGGATAAATGGAATTCTAAAAATATTAATACGAAAAGCCAAGAAAGGAAGAACAAGATACATGTCATGACAATTAAAAGAACAATACATGAAAATGACACTCATCATAACTGGATAAACAACTAGTAACAGATTTGAAATAGAGTAAAAGCTGACAAAATTAAAGAGCA